AAGGTGTTCTGGCCGCCGCAGGTGCAGCAGCTGCTGGCTCGGCCTTGCGTACGGATGCCGCTCCATTGTAAAGATGAGCTGCGAGCAGAGCGAGCTGATCTTTGCCACGGCCAACGGGGAGAGACATTCGAGAATGAGCGCGTCTGGATCTGTGTACAAGGACTTGAGGCCGATGTCGCTGTCGATATCCAGGACGTGGCGCTTGATGTCCCGCATGCGCATCTCCATGGCCATATCGGGAAACGCTCAGTGAAGATGAGTTCCAACTGAACTCGGCTCCTGGCGTCGGTGCTGCTCGGGGTGCGTGTCGGGTGCCTCACCAAGACGCCAGCGTAGCGCGTGTCGGCGAGCCTTCGCATGATCTCGGGGACGTGGTCCGTGTTTGCGTCGATGACGAAGGCGTCCTTACCAGCGACAGGGTCCTGCTCCGCACGGAGGCCTCAACGGAAACGTGGACGCAGCTGATGAACGACGCGGCGAAAGAGGATGAGACGCTCACTAGTATGTGCCTCCGCTGGAAGGCAGGCAAATATGGGGGACGCCAGCTCGCCGCCGTCGACGCTACTGCCAGCTCGCTTGACGGCATCCCGCCGCCGAAAGAACCGCAGGGGAAAGCCGACTACGATCGTCGACCACACCACCGAGCTTCGGATCAATGGTGAGGTCGGCCATGACAGCAAGGGGGTTACCAACAGACTGCTGCCGCACGCCCGCCACGCCCAGGCTCTGGACCTCCCTCCGGCGCCAGACGTGCTCCGCCTGCAGCTCGGCACCGGGGTGCACCTCTTGGACCTCGGCCCCACAGCCCTTCCAGGCCACGCGCGGGCATACCTTAGGCAGCAGCGCGGACCCTCCGAAAGTCTACCAGGCGCTGCACGGGCAGGTCCTCCAGATTCGGAGAGCACCAACTATACACCAACACCGATCCTGGCCCAGGATCACCCTGGGCCCATGATCGGTGTATATGCCTTCTTGCCCAAGGCAGGAGGGCGTATACACCGATCCTGGGCCCAGGGTGATCCTGGCCAGGAACGGTGTTGGTGTATAGTTGGTGCATTCCTACAGATCGGCACCGACACGGTCTCCATCACTGTGCTGAACGACGCCCTGGAGGCCACTTCTGCTTCGGGAAGCGGGGAGCGGGGGCGTCGACCTCCGTGTGCCCCCGCGCATCCATCGGAATGCAGGTTTTCACTTGCAGCGGCACCTCCTGCTGGATCTTGGACGTCGTTATCGCCCTCTGCTCCGCCGCAGCGGTTCCGAGCGCGTCCGGCCGCGTCTCTCCCAGTTCCTGGGCGCCTACCCCCAATTCGGCCACCTCTGCTTCTCCTCCTTCTTCTTCTTCTTCTTCTTCTTCTTCTTCTTCATCGCCGTCCCTTTGCATTCCTCTACAGCATTCTTACCCCAGTGCGACCCCCGACCGACACAACGACGTTCCTCTCAGTCTCCTGCCTCGCCGGAAGCTTCATCGTGACCGCGGCGTGGATGGTCCACCAGAAATCCGCCTCTCCAGAGATCCAATCCCCGACGCGGCCACTCGACGATCGACCCACCGCCCACAACTGCCTTACAACGGGGGCGTTTCGATAATTACGTGGAATACCCAGGCGCTCTTGCGGCGAACCCGTCGTCTTTCAAGAATAAGTCTGGGAACGTGCACAAGCTTATGACTACCCACGACATCGGCCTCTGGACGGAGACGCACGGCACGGCAGGCGGCAATGCTGCTGGACGAATCCGATTGGTTGCCAGTCATGGTGGGCCCCTGGACCCATCACTGCTGCTGCTGGAGTGGGCATCACTGTCAAAAACGAGTTCCTCGCCCTCTTCGACCCCTCACCCACGTGGACGATCATTATGCCAGGCCGCGCTGCCAGGCTCCGTCTCCGGGGCTCGCTCGGCAACCTCGATTTGTATGTCCGCTCCCTTCTTCCCCGTGGCGTCGGCGGATCTGCAGCTGGTGGGCAAGCTCGGCGTGGTGGCCGAAGACGTGGAGGGCCCCTTCGTCGAGAGGAGCTCGGATGACACGCTGGTCGGCGCCGCCGGTGCTGCACCCTCCCCTGGAGTCGGTGATGGGACGGCCGCCAAGCTGTCCTCCCCCGACCCTCTTGCTGAGGAGGTGGCGATGGACCAGGTGCGAGGCAGCCGCTGCTCATGCGGTGCCGTGGTCTTCGCATCCTGCTCTCTGGGCCCCGCCCACTCCTGGTCGTGCGCGGGGGCGCACCGCGCCGTGGGCCGCCCGCCTCGCCTGCGCCAGCGGCCGCGGCCGCCGTGCGGACGGCCCCCCCCCGTGGCCGAGGCGGTCCAGGACAGCGTCGGTGACCTGTTCTCGACCGATCGGGGCGTCGGCGTCGCCGACGGCATTCCCGCGCTGTGCACGCCTTGGCGGAGGGCCCGTTTGGAGGAGCATTCAGAAATAGTCCAAAAATTAGTTTGGGGACTACTTTTTGAGCATTTTTGTGACCATTTTGGAGTGCTTTTGGAGTATGTTTGATTTTTTCTCCAAAATCTTTCATTTTCTCCTCCGCTGCTCCGCCCCCGCGGCCTGTCTCCTGTCGAGGAGGTGCATGGGGCCGACGTCCGCCGGCGGCTTGTCCCGGCGGGCCGCGGGCGCGCCTGGTGCTGCTGCGAGCCCGGCCCAGGGCATGGCTGCCATCGCCGCGCGTTGCCCGCCGCCGTCCAACGGCCCCGACGAGGTGCGGCGCCTGGAGTCCCTCCGCCGTCAGCGGATGCATTTTGGACACTTCCCCATCGAGGAGCACAGGGCGTCCGTGGACGACGGCTGCGACCTGGGCCGTCTCGACGAGCTCGGGGACGACGCCCAGGAGGTGCAGCGGGTCCTGGGAGAACATCGACGACGGCGTCTCTTCCCAGCTGATCCTGCTGCACAGCTTGTGACGCACTCCGCCTTCGTGGTTTCGGAGTTGCACGAGCTCTCCTTGTCGGGCGGCAGCGCTGCCGGACTCGGTCTGGCAGCGCTGCCGCCCGCGCCGCACGGTGCTGGCCGCGCCTGGGTGAGATTATCGTTATGATTCCTCCTCCTTCTTATCCTCACTCTTCTCCTCCATCCTCCCCCTACTCTTCTTCCTCTTCTTCCTCCTACTCCTCCTGCGTCCCCGCCTCCTCCTCCTCGTCCTCCTCCTCCTTTTCCTCCTCCTCCTCCTCCTTTTCCTCCTTTCCCTCCTCCTCGTCCTCCTCTTCCTCCTCGTCCTCCTCCTCCTCGTCCTCCTCTTCCTTCTTCTTCTCCTCCTCCTCTTCCTTCTCCTCCTCCATTCCTTCTCCTTATAGATAACTGCTCCCTGTCGCACCCCGAGGCGAGTTTTTTGGGCGGGCCGAGCGTTTCGCGTGAGACTTCTCACCATTTATGATTCTGAGTCTTAAGAAGTGACAGCAGCTTCACAGTTGGAGGGCGGGCCGTATTCAAAATGTGGCTCTCGCCTTAGCGCCGCGCACAATCGTTTTCAAAATTTATAAGAGCTTCACGGATTGAGGGCGGGTGGTTTTTAACATGTGGTTTTCGCCTTAGCGCCGCGCACATTCGTTGAAGCACATAGCAGAAGTTTCACAGAGAGAGGGCGGGCCGTTTTCAAAATGTGGCTCTCGCCTTAGCGCCGCGCACATTCGTTTTAAACAATTGCAAAAGCTTCACAGGGAGAGGGCGGGTCGTTTTCAAAATGTGGCTTTCTCTTTAGCGCCGCGCACATTCGTTTTCAAAATGTTCAGGGGTTGAGGGCGAGTCGTTTTCAGAATGTGGCTCTCGCTTAAGCGCCGCGCTCATTCGTTGTCAACATTTGCAAGAGCTTCGCGGATTGAGGGCGTTTCTTTTTCAAAATGTGGCTCTCGCTTTAGCACCGCGCACATTAATTTTAAACATTTACAAGGGTTTCACGGATTCCCAAGATCAACGCAACAGAAATCGTGTTTTGGAGGGATTCAGGATTATGCGGGTGCAACAGTTATGCTGGTTCGCGGTGTTGAAGTCCCACCAATGGCGTTTTGGCACGGTTCCGGATCGCCAAGACGCAGCAGTCAGGTTGATACGTGGCGTTGAACTCCCGAAAACAATGTTTTGGTATGCTTCAGGATCTTCAAACTGTTGTCTTCCAACGAGGCAGTTCCCTCAGTGGAAATGAACCGTTGTAGAGGCCTATGAAGAGGGAGTGCGGCGGGAGGGTTAATTCCGACATCGTTGATGATTCCCGGGTTTACACTAGTCCTCCTCCTCCTCCTCCTCCTTCTCCTCCTCTTCCTCCCCTGGCTCAAGGTGGGGCCAAGGTGGGGTCAAGTTGGGGGCTGGGTGGGCCCCGTGCGCGCGCGCCTCCCGCGCGCGCGGTGCGGCCGGCCGCGCCTGGGCAGGCGTCATGGGCGGCGCCGGGGGCGCCGGCGGCCCTGGCGGCAGCCAGAGCGGGCACTGAAGGGGGTGGCCCGTCGCAGGAGGAGTCCCTCTGCATGCGGGACAAGGGCAACGGCTTTCACCGGGATGGTGAGATGCGCGAGCAGGATTAGGAAAACGTCGTGCCTCAGTCTGGAGGTGGCCCGGGTCAGATGCCGACGCCAGCTACGCAAGTCGACGACGAGACTGACGGGGAGTTTGTCACGCGCATGTTCAAGGAGTTCCGGACAGACCTCACCTCGTGGAACTCTGGGCTTGCTTCGGCCGGGTCCCAGAGGTCTTCGCCTTCGTGGGCATCTACGCCGAGTTCGGAGAGAGACATATTCGTGATCACCCGGTTGGAATGGAATGTGCGCGATCAGATTTTGCAGGACATGGCCATAGCGCTTCTCAGGGAGGTGGGGGCCACGGAGGACATGGTGACCGAGGTGAAGGCGCCTTTCGCCTACGGGTCGGTGATCGAGGTGCGGTTCAAGAGCGTGGAGGACGGCGGGACGATAGCCAGCAAGGTCGGGGCGTTGCGGTGCCTGGGCCACCGCGACATGCCTATATTCAGGAGGGAAAAAAAGCGCAGACATTATGAACCGTCGACTGCCAGGGATATATAGGAAAATATGGGAAGTGGGAGGGACGACGACAACCCAGAACATATGGGAAACTACGGGGAATATTTTTGTTTGTGTGTGTGTATTCATTTGTGTGTCCCAGGGCCCCTTCATACATGTATGGGCCCCATCACCACGAGGGAGGAGAGGGCACCAGGAAAAGCTTGGATGGCCATCAAGACGGTGGTCTCGGAGGCCATGAAGGACAACGGAGTGGAGCTGGTGTTCTGCGACAGGTCCCGGGGCATCCACATCTCGGACGTGCTGGTGGCAAAGTTCTTCGGAGGGGAAGTGCACTGGGTCGAGGCGCCTTTTGAGGAGTGCAAGGGCTGGCTGCAGGAGGCGATGGAGAAGGCGCTTTCCTGAGACTTGATGCCGGCGTCGGTGGTCGCCCTGAACGTCGAGGGCAAATGCAATTCGTGCGAGGACACCTCCGAACTGATCGAGAATTTGGAACAGAAGCGCTGGGGCATTAATTATATGTCTTCTCTTCGCAGGCGAAGAGCGGTGTGAAGTAAACTTTTCCGTCGCCGGGGGGCGCTGCCCCAGGGCGGCTGGAAAGTTTATACCTTGACGCGCCACCGTCAGGGTACAAACTTTCCAGCCGCCCCGGGACAGGCGCCCCCGACAGCGAAACAGTTTATGTTATACCGTTTTTCGCCCGTTAATCTTCGAGTGTGATCATCGGCGGCACGCAGATGAGCACAATGGTATGTTGCTGCCCTCTGGCAGCGGTCATCGCAGGCTTCGCTTTTATCCAGGGCCCAGGTCCTGGGCGCTGTCAGTGGTAATTCATGCAAGTGTGAAGTCAAGATTGAAAAACGTCGCGTTCAGGGACATATCGATTCGAGTTGATGTCACTGCCCAGTGTTTTGAGACAGAAGAGAGATACCTTACGTTCGTTTCCATTCAGTCATCTTGCGCACGACGCTGCATTCGAGGATAGTCTCTCAGAGGCGGTGGCGATGGTGCGTCTCCGTCCGCGGGGGGCGCTCTTGACTTGGCTTGGAGACATGAGCTCACCAGCTTCGAGCTTATCCCTATCCCGAAGGTTGACACCCTAAAAGGAGATGACAATCTTAGGGATGCACCCACAGAAACTGAGGAAATCCCTAAGATCGTCATCGTGATGAGGCGATGCCCAACATAGGGATAGGGATATGTTCCAGGCTGGTAATGAGCGCCGATGCTTTTAAGCTGTGGCAGACATCATGGTCGCAGTACATTCGGTCTCTTGGGGGTCTGGGCCTTCAACGGGTTCCTCCACGCCTTCTTCAGAGTGATTATCAATCTCGTTGTTCTCGTCTCCCCGATGGGGGCCAACAGGGGGCCCCGAGCTTGATCGACCAAGTTGCTGCGACGAGGCCGGAGAAGGCTGATGTTTTCGTGTCCTGGGCTGGCTGCCCGGGAGGTCGCGGCCGCATAGCAGTGGACTCTCTTCCTGCCTCCGCCGAGAAGCAAGAGGAGACCGCCCAAGTAGATCCTGGAGGACGGGGTAAGCGTATTGCCATGGCCGAGTCTGTCTTCCCCGACCCGCGGGAATTGGTCCAAGTCGTTTCGCAACAGATGCCCAATTTTATGAAGATCGTGTACCACGGCTCCCCAGAAAATCATAATTTCACACTCTGGGAAAAATGCGTTGGCGATCTTGTCCAGGGTACTCAACGGAGCGGGGCAGCGAGGCAGCGCCGCTTGTGCGCAGAGCCTCTCTGAATGAAGGAAGTCCGCCGACGAGTGCGAATCTCGTTTTCAGATGTGGATCGCGCGCAGCGGCACAAAGACCTGTTGAGGGCGTTGAAGATTTCGCGCCGGCAGCGGGGAACCAGACGTGTAGCTGACGAGTTTCGCAACGGAGGGAGGGCTTGGGTTTCCTGGAAGGGTTCACTGCCGGTGTCGGGCTTCAAGGTGGACGGGGATGTGGCGATCGACCCAGAACGTTGTTATGCGGAAGTATTCAGGGAGTTCCGGGATAGATGGTCGGTGCCAGCGGCGAAGCTTGATGAGGAAATGTTTCATTTGCGATGTTTGGGAATACTCGTAAAGGTTCCGTTCCAGATTGACGACCTTACGTATGATGCAGCGCTCGGCAGTATACCAAACCCACCCCAAATAAACATGTTCGGGGACTCGGTTGCCGCTCTTAGGGCGGCCGTCTGGTTGGATATAATCCAACCGACAGTTCTTGAGGCGATGATGTCAGACCAGTTTTGGAGTTCGGTGTCGTTCGCAGCATTTGTGGGGAACAAGGACAAGCAACTCAACACTCCATGGAAAACTCGGGCTACGGTGCCCCAGCCGATGATATCCCAGATATGCCATGCGTACTTGGCGCAAGCAGCTCTTCCTTACCTGGATGATTACACAGATGACCACGATCTTCAGGGCTTAGTTCTGGGAGTTTCCAAAGGGGACAAATCCAGGACATCTGCACTACGGTGGCCAGGCCAGGCACGACGGGGTGGTGGCGGTCATGGGGGACATCAAATCTCATCATGATCATGTTCGTTATGCTGCCGTCTCGCGTGGCCTCATCGCTGGTAACGTTCCGCTTCAGATCGTCAGTGGGTTTGTCATGCTCCAAATGTGCCCTAAGGTATCCACATCATGCCTCGGCTCGTGCATTGCATCGATTTCGAGGCCTCGGGGACTCCACGCAGGTGCGGCGTCCGCTTCGTTGATGGCGAGGGTTTTCGGTGGTGGACGCGATTGAGCACTGCTGGGAAAGGTGGGCGTCCCATGGTCTCGGCACTGTGCTTTCTTCGAAGAGGTTTTACGTTGTTACTTGGAGTGGCAATATTATCACTTTCGGCGCGCCCGTAGACTCGGCGACGACCGTGATGAACGATCTGGAGGTTGCATAGGTTAAGCTACACAGACTTGCCATCAAGAGAGAGCAGGATGGTTCCGCGAGCGCCGCCAACTATTTGTCCAGAAACTGACTTTCGGGACCGTTTCGGAAGGGTTTGGGGGGCTGTGCCGACAGTGAAGCTTCTCGGCTCGGTGCTTGCGTGCAACGGCGACCCGACATACGACATCCAGCGAAGGAGATCGGCCACTCTGAGCGTCTATTGGCGGAACACCCGGGTTCTAGCCAACAAGATGGTAAGCTTTAGGCAGAGGGTGAAGAAGTTAGATCAAATTGTGTACGGTATTGTACGTGCTCGTTCGGCATCGTGGAACCCATCGCAATCGGTAGTTCTCGCTTTAGACCGTCTCCAATTCAAGATTTTAAGCTGGATGCTACAGCTCCCCTGGGATCCTCACGAGACCCCTGCACAGCTCAGCATTAGAAGGGCCAGGGAACCTAAGGGCAAAATTATAATCCAGTGGTCCCGGGTGTATTACTTTTCCTGCATGTCGTGGCGATCCTACCTTCAGCGCCAGGGATTCGATGGCTGGGCACGCCTTTCACGAGCAGGATTTTGACTGGCTGAGTTCTGTCAGGCGCGTCTGGACGTGCGGCTCGTCAAAGACGGGTGCACGCACCGCCAGAGGACGAGTGTACAGATGGGACGCGTCTGGATGGTGCACCGCGCTCTCGCCGGAAGGATCCAGGGACCCCTGGGTGCTTTCGGGACCTGTCCCGTCAGCTGCTCCTCGCCTCGGCGGCAGGGATAAAACGACCGAGTGATCGACGTCAGTTTCGCTGGCTTTCAAGCTGCCACCAGTCACCGCCTTGATGCGCGTGCCATCCACCCATCCTCCTCCTCCTCCTCCTCCTCCTCTTCCTCCTTTTCCTCCTCTGGTCTCGTGATCTCCGTGCCGCACTCGAGAGGGGCACATTGGCAGGACTGTCGGCAAAGCACGCGGGAACGGGTGAGCTAGTCGTCATTTTCAGCGGTCCAGGCGAGGCGGCGCCACGCGGCACGGAAGTCCCTTGGGGTCCGGCGTCGGCTGCGCGCGATGGCGCTGCCAATGAGGCACAAAAGCTCCGCCGGGCCCTGTGGCAAGTCCTGGGCGGGAGTCCTCGGTTTTGAGCTGTGCCCACCCGGTGCCCGCGTGCGGTTGATTTCCTGTTGGCCCTGCTGCTCGCTGTCGAGCGCGCGACGCATTAGCAGGTGGACCGCGCCAACGCAACCCCTGCGGAAGCAGCAGAGGCTGCAGCACGGGCTACCAGCGGGGCAGCGAGCCACTGGCGATTGGGCCCCTCTCCCTATATTTGTTTCTTTTTTGTTGCGCTCTCTCCGAGGCGGAAATTTATCCATATCCACCGCCTGGAGGGTCAGTTTTCGGAGCTTCGGCAGGCGGTGGATATGGACATATTCGGGCCCCCAGGGGCCGAAATATATCCATATCCACCGCCCGCTGGGGCACCAGGACGTCGGTTCCCAGGCGGTGGATATGGATAAATCCCCGCCTCGCACTCTCTCTCTCTCTCTCTTTCTCTCTCTCTCTCTCTCTCTCTCCTCAGAATTCGCCCTCCGAGCATCTAAGTTTCAAGAGTGGACCCAGCCGCGGCGACGAGAAACTCTTCGGATGCCCACAAAAGGCGAAACACCCACGACTTCAAACCTCAACCCTTTCGTCCCCCCCCCTCTCCCTCCACACCCCTCCACGCCCCTCCAGAGTAATCGTAACCGGCGCAGTCGACACGCAGGGAGTAAGTTAGGGTGCAACTCTTGGGAGTTTGTCTTGACGCTTCGTGTATCCCCACCAGCCCATCCAAAATAGGAGCCAGACGAGTTGCCCTGATCAGGATGGGTAGCAGCATGCGGCCCCGCGGCACAGCGACGACAACAACGCCAGGAGTCAATTTCAAGATCTCTTGGGGCCATCGTGGGCTCCTCTTGGGGCCATCTTGGGGGCCTCTTGGGCCCTCCTGGGGCTCCCTTGGGGCCCTCTCGGGGCTCTTCTGGGGCTCTCTGGGGTCCTCTTTGAGGCCCTGGGGTGCTTTTGGGAGCCATCTTGGAGGCCACTGATCAAAAGAGGGGAGGTCGCCGATTTCGATCCCCCCGTCGGGGGCCGGCAAAGCGCCTCATTGGAGCTCTCCTGGGCCGCTCCTGGGGCAGCTGTGGGCGCTCTCGGGGACGTCTTCGGCCCCTTTGGGGGCCCCCGTGGGCCATCGGGGAGCCATCTTGAGGCAACAAGAGCCCATCGGAAGAGGAGAGGCGAGGCGCAAACACAAGTGGACAACACACCATGGTTTCGAAGGCTTTTGACCTCATTGGAGCCTCCGTGGGAGGGAGGCTCAGAGGGCACTTTGGGCCGTCCTGGGGCGATCTTGAGGGCTTGCGGATGCATGTTGGAAACTATCTTGGACCGTCTTGGGATATCTTGAGCGATCATGAAGGCCATCTTGGGTTCTCTGGGGCCCTCGTGGAGCCACCTGGGGCCAAAAATGGCCTTCTGACACATCGCGGAGGCAGGGGCTTCAGACCCAGGGGGTGGGAGAGAGGGGGAGGTGGAACCCGCTCGAAGGGGAAGAAGGGGGTTGACATACAGTCCAACCGATGTATAAGATCGAGGTCGGTTCGGGAAGGGTACCCCTAGTGTTCTCTGTGCTTGCTTAATGTTCTTGTGCATCCTGGGGAGGGTACCCTTGGATGTTCTGTGTGTTTTGGACAGCGGGGGGTCTCATGTTCTGAGGGATGTTCTTTGACCTAGGTCCGACTGCAGCGAGCTCGTTACACCACTCACGCCCAGAGGGCTGCTGGGATTCAGCATCGCTGCTGGTATCGGTTCAGTGCCGTTGCCGAACTTCCGTGGTCGACAGCCGACCTTGTCCGGTAGTGTTTTTTGTGCATAATCCTGCTGAGTCCCGGTCATCCTGGTTCCATCCCCCGCTTTGTGCAGCCAGACCAGGCTCAGTTGCCCTTCCATTGGGTCTAATCGCCCTTGATCGTTCTTACGAGGGCCTCGTTGGAGTTGCCTCCTGACCTTTTATGGGGCGGTCCTCCTCCCCCGCTTGAGGTCGTGGATTCTTTGGCAACAGAAGCTCATGACAAATCCCAACATCGCGACAAACTGCGACCAGAGCCCAAGATCCAACATTCCTGCTGCATTCGGTCGAGCCGGATCGATCTGTGATGGTCTGGAGCCCGAAATCGGGCAGAAAGGCCCAGGGTGACACAAATTGTTGGCGCTCTTGGAGCCGTCTTGGGCCATCTTGGACGCTCTAACTACCCGCGGCCCCCCCCGTCCAGGTCCAGGGGAGGGGGTAGGGGGAGGGGTAAACCCCTCCCCAAGGGGGAAGAGGGAGGGGTGGAAGAGGATCTGCTCTAGACCACCTACGCCCAGAGGGCTGGTGGGATTCACGGGTGCGCACCTTGGGCCAGCTTTCCCCACAGAGAGGCGTCCCAGGTCCGCCGGCGCCTGCTGGCGACGGAGGGGCCGCCGCGGCGGACTACAGCCAGCTGAAGCTGCCCGAGCTGAAGGAGCTGCTGAAGTCCCTCCTGCCCTGCCGTGGGGGCGAGGAGGATCAAGAGGAGAAGTCTGAGGAGGGGGAGGGTCCGTATGTCCATGTTTGGCCGAAAGCCTGCTGGAGATGGTTGCACCCCTGGTTTGTCCAGGCATCGCCACTGCCTCGACCGAGGGAGGCGCGGGCCCCGCGCAGATGCGCGGGGTCGCGGGGCATACGGTAGGTTCGCGTCGTGTCGACCGGCGGCGACCCCGCCGCCGACGTTCAACGTTGAACGCCGCGGGGGACCCAGAATCGTTCGATGTGGAGCGATTGGGACGATTCGGAAACGGCCGATCGTTCAATGTTGAACGATCCCCGCGGTGTCAGGAACCAACGCCGGGGTCGACACGACACGAACCTGCCGTACACATTACCAGCGGCGGGCTGTTTATCCCAGGACTTTCTGAAGGTCGGGAGCGGCGTCCGGGTGGTGCGGCCCCGCTTTCCCGGGGAAGCAACGAAAAGTGCACACGTCAGGATCCCGTGTGCAGCAGGATCCGCCCTCCTGTGCAAAAGCTTCGGTGCAGGGCCGCAGAAACGGCGCCGGTGCATGGAGGTCGGCTCCCCGCGACTGGCAGCCGGCGCCAGCGCGGCACGGGTGGGAGCTTCGCGCCCTCGTGAATCAGGAGGGGAAAAAACACACAGACACAATTAATCGGCGATTGCCAGAAAATATAGGAAAATATGGGAAGTGGGGGGGAAGACAGAAACCCAGAAAATATGGGAAAATATGGAGGATATTTTTATTTGTGTGTATTTATTTGTGTGTTCCAGTTCCCCTTCAGTGAAGGTGAGCCTCGCCCGCGCTCCCGGGGTCGACCTGGCCCCAATGGCCACGCGCCGGCACTCTTGGGGGGGCCAGGGCCCTCCGGGGGCCCAGCCGTCGACGCGCGGGCCTCCGGCGCACATGTGCGCGGCTGGGTGCGGAGCCGTGGCGCGCCTCGGAGTGCGGCGACACGGACGGGGAGGAGGGAGGAGGAGGAGGAGGAGGAGGAGGAGGAGGAGGAGGAGGAGGTGGAGGAGACAGGATATATCCCTTCCTTCCCCACCGCCCCAAGGCGGGGGTGGGGGGTCCAGCGCTCCCATCAGCGGCAGGGCGGGGCCTTGTCGCGGGCCGAGTGCGGTGACACTGACTGGCATGCCAGCGCGTGTTCATCGGCCAATTGGCAGGGGACTGCGGCCACCTGGAAGCCGCACGTTTCTTCGCGGAGGTGGGGTCGCCAGGCGGCTGCACGAGGCGCGGCCGCGCACTGGCGCGGCACGCCGACGTTCCGATTGAATTCAGTCGGGCATGTCCCTCTGCAGGAGGAGTGTTCAGACATAGTCAAACAATAGTGCGGGGATGTTTTTTTAATGTGTTGACCTGGCTTGTTTATGTCTTGAGTAGATGTTACTTCGTTGTTATAGGCCTCCCAGATGGGGTCCGAGTAGATCGGGTCGGAAGATCACGCCGCATCGCCGATGCATCGGCGATGCATCGCCGATGCATCGCCGATGCGGCTCGATGTGGAGCCCGATTTTCTCCACGCCGACGGCACCGATGCATCGCCGACGGCACCGATGCATCGCCGATGCATTGGCGATGTATCGCCGATGTATCCCCGATGTGGCGCGATCCGCCGACCCCATCTATTCGGACCCCATCTAGGAGGCCTCTAGTTTTTTGCGCTTCACTTGCTCGCGTTGGGTCGGCCGAGCCTCGCTCCCAACGAGGCTCGCGTGCGGGCAACGGTCGCTCCCTGCCAGGGGGGCATCCGTTGCCGCATCGAGCGGCTGCATCGGACCGCAGTTTGCCATGCCCGTGTCGGCAAGAGCGAGGCGGGTCGTGCTCTCCGCAGACCGACGCCACGGAGGTCTTGCTCCTTGGTCCG